CCCCCCCCCCCTCCTCCCCGGGCCTGGGGACGGTAGTGATCCTGGAAGGAAGGAAGCCGACCCAGAAGGCCTCGCACAGATGCTTAGAGAAAGGAAAACTCGACCCGCTCTCCCTGGAAAGTGAAGGTAAAGGCTGCTCATCACACCGCAGCGCCCGGTTCGGAACCCGTCACGGCAGGCGCGCGTGGGCTCGGCCGGCCGCGGCCGGAGCCGGGTTTTAGGGCTGCCTCCAACTCTGTAGGGAATGACGATCACCTAGGTTGCCCGTGGCACAGCTGGTTCACACTTCTGGGTATACTCTGAACACACCATGCGCGTGCGCATGCGCGTGCTGGCGCTGGGGCTTGAACTCAGGGCTTCAACCGGTGTTTTTGCTCATAGCTGGTGTTCTACCACTTGAGCCAAGGCCTCCAGTCCAGTTTCTTTTAGCGGGCGGAGTGGGGATAGAGTGACACAGACTTTTCTGCTTGGGTTGACTTCCAACTCCAACGCTCAGGTCGCAGCCACCCGCATGGCAAGGCCTGCAGCCCGGGCCTCCGGCAGCCGGCTCAGGACAATGCACCTGATCAGTGTGACCCCTGGCACCGTCCCCATCTCTCCCACCCTCAAGCACTAAGGATCTTCAGGGCAACAGCGGCCCTGAGCCAGGTGAGCGCGGCCTTGCCATTCAATGACTGCTGGAGTGGAAGCCAGGGCTGAGGTTCCTCAAAAAAGCTAATGGACAACGACCAAGCCTCGAGGTCAAGCCCCAGTACTGGCATACACACACCGAAAGGAGATGAACGGCACTCACAAAATGACACACTCAACTGAAACCCATTTGTACAACTACTTACAGCCAATTAAAAAAAAAGATTGTGAGAGTAATACATAAGAGGCATATTGTTACAATCCTGAAAACTTTTTCTTTCCCTACTTTCCTCCTTCCTTCCATTTGTCCCTCCCTCCCTTCCACTCTCCCTCCCTTCCTTCCTTTCCTTCTCTCTCTGTTCCTCCTCCTCCCTTCTTTCCTTCCTTTCTCCTTTCTCTGTAGTGACTTTGCTGCGCTTCCATCACAGGGTGTGAGGAGGAAGGCAGGTTTCTAGGGGTGGTGCAGGCTGGCCATGCAAAGCAATTTCCAGCCAAGCACTGAGTGGGAGGAGTTCTGTTCCTGGGGAGAGCAGTAGGAAAGCCCGGGGTGGGCAGCTGGGCTGGCTCCGCAACCCAAGCAGAGGACACCATGACTGACTACAACGGTTGTACTTTCAGCCTTCGGTTTCACTTGACCCTGAGAGCAGAGGCAAGCTCTTGACTGCTATGAACGCTGGTGGCTGTCATCCTGTGTCCTCACCTTGGCTGGAAGCAACTCTCCAGCTGCTGCCTTGAGAAGGGGCGCAGTTAGGCTGGTACCGACTCTCCTGGTGTCCTGATGGCCCCCAAGGCTGGTACCACCAGATGGGCACCTTCAGGAATCCCTAGAGAACAGAGCATTTAAACTGCTGTGATGCACCGATGGAGTCTTCGCTTCCACGAAGTGAAATATCTTCACACAAAATGTTCTTCAATTTATTATTTTTCCTTCTAGATTTTTTTTTGGGGGAGGGAGGGTTGGTTGGTTGTAGGGCTTGAATGCAAGGCCTAGGCACTGTCCCTGAGCTTTTTTGCTCAAGGCTAGTGCTCTACCACATAGAATGTGTAGAAGCACGAAGAACTATGAGGTCCTTTCCAGACATGTTACACACTACTTCTGGGTGCTGAGGTGCTGCTGGCACAGTACTTCGGGCTTACCGGGCTCCAGGGATAACCTAGGAGCTTGAGGCCTAGTACCCAAGTTGGTTTCCTATAGGCAAACACACTAAAGGAACCCAGTGTCTTAAATACACCCTGAAATTCCAGCCTTACTTATTTCCCATTCTTTTCCTTACCAGTAAAGAAATTCAAGAGATTTATTAAGAAAAGCTGTTCCAGCAATTTCCAACAAAGGATGAGAATGTACAAATAACTGTAGTATTTAAAATATCTACTTCAAAAAATTCATATTTCAGTATTTCTTATGGCATTAGTGAGAATGAACAAATACACAACCTCAACTCAGTTAAATCCATATAAATCCAAACAGCAAAATGAGAGACAAAGGCATAGCTCAAGTGGTGGAGCTCTAGGCAAGCAAGCAAGCTGAGCAAAAGCCAAACCAAAACAGCAATGGAAAAACAAAAACAAAATTCCATTTTTTCCCCCTAGCAAGATGTAAAAAAGCCAGAAAGTCTAACAATAGACATTCCATGTTGGTGAAAAATTGAACTCGTATAAATTGTAATGGAAATAGAAACTGCTATAAGACTTTATCAGCATTTAAAGTGTTCAAGCAAGTTCCACATTCAAGACATTCCACACTTAGGAATTTATGTCTGACACATATGTGTGTTACAAAGCTGTAAGTTACAGGATTATTCATTCAAAAATTTTTATCATGCCAACACCATGACCCAACCTCAAGATACAGCTTCAGAAAGTTGATTATATTATAGTAGGCCATAATTATTGGCAGAAAAATTCCGGTTCTAGAGGTTTATCCTGCAGATATGTTCATATACACAAAAATAGCACATGCATACATATTTACAGTATTTATATACAATAAGTAAGCTATGGGCTTGGGGAGATAGCTCGGTAGCTGTGTGCTAGTCTGGCATAGGGAAGGCCATGATTCATTCCCTTGCCCTGCAGATGGGGTAGCTAGCATGCATGTATATGTATATATATAATATATATATAAAATCTTTTGTGCAAAGAAAAAGAAATATCTATGTGTAATTTTATGTAAAAATGTAGGGAGGAAATGCTTCTGATTGGCAGAATTTTGAACCGTTTTCTGTTCCTTTTATGACTGTGTTTTTCCATTGTCCTGTGACAGAGATCATCTTTGTAACTAGACAACAATAGCTGTTACTTACAGAATGTCTGTTTAGAAGCAAAATCTTACCAGAGGGGGCAGTTTTCCTTTCATTAAAAGCAAAGTATCTCCAGAGCATATCCTAAGTTCTTTCAGTGTTGCATCCTGGGAATACAGAAATTCTTTTTTGTCACTTATGACTTCTGAAAGGAACAAAGAAACCATTGAATCTTTTTTATGCCTCTTATCACCTAGTCAAGAAAGAAATAAGTAGTAAAGCAGAGAGTGAAGACATAGGAAGTAAACTAAGAATATAAAATCAAATAACATATATTAGTGGATACAAATAATTAAAAATCATAAAAGAGCTGAGGAAAGGGAGATCTGAGAAACGATAAGAGACTAAGTTATGAAAGATAGAATTTGAATGACACCTAAGGAGGAGGATTCCATTTACAAAGTTAGAGGAAACAAGAGAAGGAACTTGTCTTGAAAAACAGGATAAGGCAAAAGTCAAAGCTGACAATAAAGCCTGGCTTGTCTTGGTGAAGAGCTAAGAGGCGAGGCGGCATGGGGTGGGAAGAGCCGCTGGAGAGGGCAGCAAGTGAAGTTGCCTGGACGGTGGACACAGCCAAACTGGGATGGGACAGAAGCATAGGAGCTCCTCAGCTGGCTGTTCCATGCATGACATAGTGAAGTGAGAATGGCAGACAGGGCGCAGGGAAGAGGTTGTGGTAATTCAGGTAACAGGCAAGGGCTTGAAGAAAGGCCAGCAGGGAAATGATGAGGAAGGGAAAGAAGCCAGCAGGCCCTGAAGGCTGAGACGAAATCGGAAGAAGGAAAGATAAGTAGGTAAGCCACAGTTTAGTCTGACAAGACTAGAATTAAAAAGACAGATGGCAAACCTAGGTAGGGAAGCTAGTTTTGAGCTTACTATCAGATAAATTATTTAATAGTGATTTGGGAATTACTCCAGAAGACAATAGTCAGGTACGGTGGCTCACATCTCTCATCTTGGTACTAGGGAGGCTAAGGTAGGGAGCCTGCAAGTTTAAGAGCAGACAAGGCTACACAGTGAGGCTCTTGCTCAAAACTCAAGTCTCTACTTCTTCCTTTGGGCAGTCAAACTCTTGAAGATCAAAGATGAGCCTACCCTGATGGGCCTGCCCACGGCTTTCTAAGTCTGCTCCCAGGGCTTCATTTGTCCTCTTTCCAAAGCCATAGGTGTGGACTAGGAGCTTTGATATTCTAGTGGGCCAACAATAAGATTAACTAGGTCTCAACTATCTGTGATGGAATGGCTCCTTGAACTTCCCTGTGTCTGGATGGAGCCAGCCCCAGAGCCTCTAGAACTGGTTGGTAAGATGAATTCTTCCATGTTACAGAGAAATTCTGAGATTAGAGAACTAGGGTAAAAAAATTCAGTGTCCAAATGCTGTCATGAGTCCAAACATAGTTTGCTCTCTAGAGTTCTCACTTCCTAGTGATTTCCTGGGGCATGTTCTCATTCTCTCTCTCAGTGGACCGGTTATCACCCCTTTCTAATGGCTCCCTCCACACTGGGACTTGCTCTCTATCTGAAAGCCATAGTCAGAAGAAGTGAAAAAATACCCATTCACATCTTTCTGTGTTCTAAAAGACAAAGGTTTTCCCTGGACTTTCTCCCCATGACTTTGAAGGGGAAATCCTGCAGGAAAATACAATGATGTATAAGAGTGAGATGGTAGAAAGTCTCACCTCTTCACATAGAGGCTCCCCAGCTTCGTAGCACCAGTCCATTTTCCGTAAATGCCACGCACCCCCTGTGAAGGAATGCAGAATATGTCACTGCACCAGTGATCCTTCTGGATAGTTAAACAGCAAATGAATCTTATGAATCTTGACCTTATCATCATCATCATCATCATCATCATCATCTTCCTCACCACCACCATCATTTTGTGCCAGTCCTGTTGCTTGAACTCAGGGCATGGACACTGTCCTTGAGCTTTCTTTTGGTCTCCCACATGAGCTACAGATCCACTTTCAGCTTTTTGGTTGGTTAATTGGAGATAAGGGTCGCATGGACTTTTCTGTCTGGACTGGCTTTGAACTGTGATCTTCAGATCTCAGCCTCCTGAGAAGCTAGGATAACAGGTATGAGCCACTAGCACCTAGCCATTAATTATTATTGACTAAATTATCTCTTATATAGCATGAAGAAAGTTTTCTCCCTAAGTTGGTAAATTTTCTCTTTCACTACAAACTTGTGAATAAAAACTATATTTATATGTTTAATTGTAAAAACTTGCTGCTATTACACATTTCTTTGCACCTTTTGTATTTATATGCACCCATGTACAGGCCACATACAGTATCCATATATATAGACATGTGCACACAGCATCCTTCTGCAAGCCTCATGAGCTCACTTCATTGTCTTGGCTGAGGTGCATGCCCACATTGCCCAGAAGCTGCTGATGTGCAAGAAAATTATTCCTTCTTGCTCAGCAGTTAGTCTAAGAAAAATACAGCACTAGTACAGTCCAAAGATCATATGGGTGAATATCTATGTTATAAATGATAAATAAATACATTTCAATCAGGTTCCCATTTTTCAGTATACTTACTACCCTGGAGAAATTAATGAGATGTTTTGTTTTTTGCATGGTGAGAAAAGCAAGTGCAGGAAAAGTTAGAATACCGGTGATGTAGTCATGTTTATCAACAAGTAACACATCTTTCCTCCACCAAGAACATTTAAAATAAACAAATTTCTTACAAATGTCCATGAGCCCAACCTTTGTACCTTCCTTGTGGATCCTCTTTAGTCATTAGTTCTAGTTTTAAATATGGTGAGATTTACAAAACTACATTTTAAACTTAATTTAAGCACCTTTAAAAATCACCCACAAGGGGCTGGGAATGTAGCTTAGTGGTAGAGTGCTTGCCTAGCATGTGTGAAGCCCTGGGTTCAATTCCTTAGTACCACATACACAGAAAAGGCTGGAAGTAGTGTGGTGGGTCAAGTGGTAGAAGGCTCAAGGACAGTGCTCAGGCCCTGAGTTCAAGCTCTAGGTCTAGAAAAAAAAAATTACCCACAAGTTGTAGATACTATGAGCCCAGCATAGCACAGTGTTTAGAAGCTGGCTGAAGAGAGAGCCAGCTGCTGTCTGGAACGCTGGGCCAGCAGGCTGACCTTCCTCAGCTGTAGGCCAGAAACAGCCAGGGTGGTGGGATTGAGGGACTGCCCTGGAGACACAGCAGGCACACTGCCAGAACGCTGCTTCCCCTTCCAGGGAAGGAAACTGTGTTAATGCAGTGTGACCAGCAGAGGGTGCTAAAGACAGCAGCACAGTGCCATCAACTGCTCAGAACACGAAATTATCCTGGATTTAGATTTCTCATTCTATTACATTCCCTAATCATCTACACCACAAAAATACTGACATGAAACAGGACGCACTGAAATTCTCAGTGATTTAAAAAGTTAGTGAAAGACCTAGGTAATTCAGAGTGACATAACTCTTTATTTTTTCCCTACTGGATCCAACCTAAGTATTCTTTACTTAGATTTAATCTGCCATTGCTTTTTTTTTTTTTGTCAGGCATGAGGCCTGAACTCTGGGCCTGGGCGCTGTCCCTCAGCATTTTAACTCAATGCTAGCACTCTACCACTTGAGCCACAGTGCCACTTCTGGCTTTTTCTGCTTATGTGGTGCTGAGGAATCGAACCCAGGGCCTCATGGATACGAGGCAAGCGCTCTACCACTGAGCCTCCTTCCCAGCCTCTGCTTTTTTTTTTTTTTTTAGTTTGAAAATAAGGAGGCAATCCATTATGGTAGTATAGAAATTTACTTTTTTCTTTCCAGTCTATACTTCTTCCCATAGCCCAGGAAAAAAGAAAGCTTAAAAAAGAAGTAGCTGAGTTGATGGAATCTTAGCCCTTGGCAGGCTGAGGCAGGAGCCTTGAGGCCATGAGCTTGAGGTCAGTCATTTTGGGCTACCTAGAGAAACCCTGTCTCAAATAAGCAAAACCGTGAAAAGTTTCATTAGACTTAAGAATGCAGATAAGATTAAGATTGATGATGTTATCATAGTAAATAACTTACCTGACAGACCAGATTTCTTCAGCATTATCTTTAAACACTGCAAAAAATTATGTCTAATATTAGTTTTCTATTTCTGAGTTATAGTATGGCAAATACCTTTTTTCCTAGGAACCAAGCAAGCTTGTGTGTGTGTGTGTGTGTGTGTGTGTGTGTGTGTGTGTGTGTGTGTGTGTGTGTGTGTGTGTGTGCGCACGCGCGCGCGCGCGCAGAGTGCAGAGTGAAGGAGTGATGTCCTGTAATCCTAGCTAGTTAGGAGGTTGAAAATAGGAGGATTGCAAATTTGAGGCCAGCCTGGGAAAAAACGTTCGCTAGACTTCTAATCAACCCCGAGTTAGGTGCAGTGGTGTATATCCGACATCCTAAGCTATACAGGAGGCTGAGATTGGGAACATCGCTGATCCTGGCCAATCCAGGCAATAAAGTCCCCATGACTCCTTCTCAATGGAGGAAAACTGGACATAGTGGTGCACCTATCAACCCAACCACTACAGGAAGCCTAAAACAGGAGGACTGCAGTCGAGGTGCACCTGGGCAGGAAATGAAAGCTTATTTAAAAAATGACCAGCACAAATCAGGGCTGGAGATATGGCTATGTGGCAGAGTGTGTGCCTAGCAAGCATGAAGCACGGAATGCAGCCATAAGTATTATTTATGACCCCAAAAGACTAAAACAATCGTCATCTAATTTAAGAATCTTAGTAGGTCTTTCAATTTTCAAGGTCCTGGCACTCACCTAACCATCACTCGCAACTCTTGCGAGTACGCTATGGAAACCCACCCCTAGGATCTCCAGATGCCAGCCCTGGCCAGCCCGGCTCCCCCGCCAGTGTCACAGCCCCAACCAAAGAGAAAAATGACTTACATCTCTCACAGACAGTGTTTCCTCTACTATGACCTCCAATTCTACGCCTGGTTGAAGGTCAGTCCCCAGAGCAAAAAACAGGAACAGCTAAGAGCGAGGCAGAAAAGTATGAATGCAACTCAACCTGAATTTTAAAAAGTTTTTTGTTTTTTCTGGCAGTACCAGAGGTTTGAACTCAGAGCCTTGCGCTTGCCAGGCAGGTACTTTACCACTTGAACCATGCCCTGAGACCCTGGATTTCTATAAATGTATGATTTAGTTCCACAAAGTAAATATTAATAAAATATTAAATAGTAACACAATCATAATTAAAACTCAGGATTAGGATGCAGCTGATGGGAGGGTGCTGATGCAGTATGCTCAAGGCCATGGCTTTATTTCCAATACTCCATGCACAAACAAAACCAACAAAATCCCCAAAATTATGTAAAAGCAAGACTGTGCTCAATGCTACCATTTAAACAATAACCTCACCTACGGAGAAACAGAAGATGCTCCCTCACCAATGTTCTACTGCTAATCAAACCTTTCACAGACACTGTTCCTTTGACTACCAGCTCCCTTTCTAAGTCAGCCTCTCCCCGGCAGCGGGCACAGCTCACGGCTCCTCTGTGCGTGGACATGATGGGACTCGTGCGTGAAGCTCTCCTTGCTTCTCAGCTGCCCTAGGCCCATCTGACCGAACAGCCCACAAGATGTTATAAAGATAGAAAAAGCTCTGCCCAAGACTAAGGTTCTCACCCTGGAATCTGCTACACAGTGAGCCCCCACTTTTCTGAACCACATGGGGGGATTTTCCTTTCTTTTCTTTCCTTCTGAGGCAGAGCACTACTTTTTTCCCCCTCTTGTTTTATGAGGCAGGGTCCTGCGATATACACCAGGCTTGCCTCCATCTTGAAAAGTAGACCAAGCTGGACTCCAACTCATGATCCCCCGTCTCCTAAGTTCTGAAAGCACAGGAATGTGTCACCATGCCTAGCTTTATAGGATTTTCTATTTAGGGCTTTCACATATTGTAATTCCTAAGACCCCATAGGAAAAATGTAAATGTATTCTCTTGATTCCTCACTAATTTAGCCTCATTGCTCATGTCTGTCTTCCTTCCGGCTCGTCCTGCACTGCTATTTGCTAGCACTCAGGAAGCACATTTAAGGGGCAGTTGGCAAGCCGAGCTTGTGTTGACACAGTGACAGTAAGGCTACTATTACGACTTTTGGACCATAATAAAAGTTTATTAGATGGGGCTTCTGGCATGGTGTTTATAGAGAAAATGCATCCTGATAAAGGCAATGGAAAAGGGCAGCTGCTGTGAAAGTATCCTATTGTTGCAGAGAGTAATTTTAAGTTCAAAATCGCTATATTAAATGTACAACACCACTCACTGACTGTTAGATTCATTATCTTCTGCTAAAAGAGGAAACAACAGCATTGCTGGCTACAACTGCAGGAGGCCACGACCATCAGATGGGGCCTAACCGTGCAGGCCTGGACATGCTCTTCAGAATTGAGGAAATGCTCACCTTTGTGGTCACACAGCCTTACACACAGATTTTTACAGAACAGGAATATCATACAGATGATGCAGTACAGTATCATATATTTAGGTAGAGAGCAACACTAATACATTCCTTCAGGGCAAGTTTGAGGAAAACCACCATTAGAGATAAAGAGCATTTCTGGAGGTACCCTAATCATACCTGAGAGGAAGTTGGTGCTTTTCCAAGACACAGTGCCAGAGTGCTCCCCAGCCTCACCTCCGCCTCCTTCAGGGTAGCGCTGTCCGGCACTGGAAAGACATTTGACAACATGGTCACTGCTTCCAATCCTACCTCCCTTGGCAAAATGTCTGTAGTCTTTCTTTAACAATCAGGAAGATCAAGATCAAAGCCGCATGTGGTGGTGCACAGGGAAGCAGAGACAGGAGGATTGTGAATTTGAGGTCAGCAAGAGAGCTTGAGGCCAGACTTTGGACCAAAAGAAAAAAAAAACCAAAAAAACAAAAAAAGGGGGACTAGATTGTAGCTGAGTGGTAGAATGTGTGCTTTAGCCTGTGCAAGCAAGGCCCTGGGTTTCATCCCAAGCAATGCTACACTAACAGATTTTCATATACTACCCCCAAAAAGAATTAAGAAAAAAAGCCACCAGGTGTGATCGCTCACACTTGTATTCTTACTGCTTGGCAGGACGAGACTAGGAGAGCGGTGGCTGAGGCCAGCACAGGCAAAACCTACAAAAAGGTGAGTTCAGTAGCACATGCCCATCACCCCAGCTCAAAGGGAATTATTAAACAGTAGGATCACGGTCCAGGCTGGACTAGGCAAAATAAAAAACCCTACACTAAAAAGAACAAAAGCACACATGATACACTGGGTTCTTCTACCTTTGGACTTACTAGAGATTGCCAACAATAATAATTAGTCTCTGTGACTTAATCATATTTGATGACAAAATGCGTTTTGGAGGTGAGAACCAAAGATGGCAATAAGACCAATAAAGCAGGCAGAGAAGTTAGGAAGTAAGCTAGAAACATGCCGCCAGACTGCCACGAGAGCAAGGGAGAAACCTCAGGAGGACGAGGGCTTCATTCTAGTGACAAGGCTTCTATGGAAGTCAGGATGAAATACACCCACAAACCAGTTTCCTAAAGGTCATTTAAGCATATCTGGGACTGGAAACCATTATTTAAGGCAATAGTGTTAAGAAAGATGGATTGTTTGAGCAGTTATCAGCTTTTGGAAGCTACCATAAAGATTTAACTGGACAGGGGCTGGGAAGGTGGCTCAGTGGTAGAGCGCTTGCCTTGCATGCGTGAGGCCCTCGGTTCGATTCCTCAGCACCACATAAGCAAAGAGCAAAAAGCCGGAGTGGTGCTGTGGCTCATATGGTAGAGTGCTGTGGCTCATATGGTAAAGTGCTAGCCTACAGTTGAAGAGCTGAGGGCCAGCGCCCAGGCCCAGAGTTCAGGCCCCACAACTGACCAAAAAAAAAAAAAAAATTTACCTGGACAAAGAAGCTTTCCATTTCTGTCAACAGGTCTCAAACAACTGTTCTCAGCTACAAATAAAAAGAAGCTGGTTAGGGCATTAAACAAAGAACACTGAGGACATGTTCTATTGTGCAAATTAGAAGGAAGATACTATAGGCTACAAAAAAATCCAAATTATAAAAAAGTCAGCTCCAGCTGATTACAGGTATGCATGGTGGCATACACCTGTAATCCCAGCACTTCAGGAGGCTCAAAAGCTAGCTTCACAGTGAGCTGCCTGGGCTACATAGTGAGACCATATCCCAAAAAAATAAAGCAATTTCAGGCAGGTACCAGTAGCTCACACCTGTCATCCTGAGCTACTCAGGAGGCTGAGATCTTAGGATCGCAGTTCAAAGCCAGCCCAGGCAGGAAAATCTGTGAGACTCTTATCTCCAATTAACCACCAGAAAACTGAAAGTAGTGCTGTGGCTCAAGTGGTAGAGCACTAGCCTTGCACTGAAGAGCTCAGGCCCAGAGCTCAGACCCCATGACTGACAAAAAATAAATAAATAAAGCAACTGAAAATTTCCCCTCCCAACAAAACCCCCTGCAACAACGGAAAGAACAACAAAACCAAAACCAAGCTGAGTGCGTCATCTTCGCAGAGCGCATATGGCAAACAGTGTAGAGTCTGGTTTCTCCTTGTTTGGCAGTGACGGCTGGGGTGAGCCTTTCCCAGCCCCAGCGAGGGCCCTACCTCCTTCTGAGCTCAGACCAGCCCCCAGCGTGGCACACTTTGTGCCCTCAATGGCATGAACGGTCTCTGACAGCCCCGTTCATGCCAGGTCTTCAGGGGCACCTTCATTTCTCTTTGCCATCTCCTCTTCCTCATGTGGGTTAGGGCGCCCTGGGAAGGCCTCTCTTGAGTGACAGCAGCATCTACTTCCCTGGAGACTGAGGCTGCTTCTACAGCTTCTTATTCCTGTGCTTTATTCCTTGGCCAACACTCTCTTTCACTGAACATTCTTCTAGCACATTGTACACATGTGATGGAGGAAAGGAGGCACCACAACCACACACTGTGCTATGTGTGTGCTGAGCTACGAAAGAGCCCCACAGAGGCCTATCACCAGAGGACGCCAGACATGGTGCATGCTTATTTACACTGATCTGTGCAGGGCCAGCTGGTAACCTATTTATTTACCCATAACATATTGCGGTTGCTGGAATTCAAGACCTATTACTAGGGGTCTATTGTTATATAACTACATAATATGGACTGAAATTCACACAACTCTTTTTATATTTAAACTGTAGGGTGATTTTATGCATAGCAAGGGAACTGGGGACAGAATTCACTATTTTTGAACATTCAGATTCCTGCTTGATGGAAAGGAATACATAGACTTTATAGTTCACATAATTCTGACATGAACTGCAGAAAGGAGGCTTTTGAACTGGCAAGAACAGCACAGACCTAACAGTTTTAAGTTTATTAGACTGGAACAGAATCTCTCCCTGAGTTTCTTGAGCTCGGTATTTCATACGACAATAATATGAATATAGTATATAGTTCTACTAAAAATTTCTTGTGAACTGTAACAGTTTATAAAAGGAGTTCTTTATCTTAAAAGGTATACTTAAAATACTGTGTTCTTAAATCTTTTCACTTTCAGCTCAGTATGATGATTCATGTCTGTAGCCCAAGCTACTTGCGAGACTAAGGCAAGATCACCTGAACCCCGGAGTCTGAGGCCAGGCAAGATACCCACCTTGCCTCCACCACAAGAACAAAAGCCAAGTATTTAAATTTTCATCCAATGAGCACATGTTGGCCATGTGCTACATGCAGGACACAGTTAGAAACTGTGATAGAGAGGTAAAGAATCACAGCCAGGGACTGGTAAGGTGGCTCAGTGGTAGAGCACTTGCCTTGCATGCATGAGGCCCTGAGTTCGATTCCTCAGCACCACATAAGCAAAAAGAAAAAAGCCAGAAGTGGCGCTGTGGCCCAAGTGGTAGAGCACTAGCCTTGAGCTGAAGAGCTGAGGAACAGTGCCAGGCCCAGAGTTCAGGCCCCACTACCGGACCCAAAAATAAAAAAAAAGAATCACAGCCATGTACTCTATTCTCCCACAGACTCATCCAATGGGAGAGGTGATGGTAATGACACAAATTAAAAGGAGTTACCATAGGAAGTGCTATGACGGGAAAGAAGGCGTCAGTGTGAAACAGAGATGAACTGAGACCCTGAGGGTAGGGATAAAAGGGGAGGTGGCATTCTGGAGCCACTGAGTGCCTATCACATCTTTAATTTCTTATAACATATTTTCTAGGTTTTCTTCCTTTCTTTCTTCCTCCTTTCCTTTCCCTCTCTTTCCCTCCCCCCCCCTTTCCTTTCCTTTTTTTTCTTTTCTGTTGTTGGTCATGGGGCTTGAACTCAGGGCCTAGGTGCTGTTCCTGAACTTTTTCCATTCAAGGCTAGCATCCTATCACTTTGAGCCACAGTGCTACTTCTTGTTTTCTGGTGGTAAATTAGAGATAAGAGTTTCATGGACTTTCCTGCCCGGGCTGGCTTTGAACTATGATCCTCAGATCTCAGCCTCCTGAGTAGTTGGGGTTATAGGCGTGTACCACCAGCACCCAGCTTCTAGTTTTTTGGTTTTTTTTTTTTAGTGTATAACTCTTACATGTATTTTGTTAAGTATATTCCTGACATTGCATGGTATTTTATGTTATTATAAATGTTTTTTATAAATTCAATGTCCATTTTGTTACTGGTAGATTAGAAATATAATGGAATTTGTATGGTTTTGAGATATGAATTCATTAGAATGGATAATCACAAATATGGACAAGGATGTGGCACATATTAGGAGAGCCATATACTATTCAATCACTTCAGAAAATAGTATGGTGGGTTCTTAGAGGGTTAATGTAAATTTTCCATTTGATACTGTTTCTAATGCTGTATATCTACTCAAGAGAATGGAAAACATAACCACATAAAGACTTACATGTGGATGTATACAGCAGCATTGTTCTAAAAGTATAAAAAGCCCAAGTGGCCATCAGCTGATGACATATCCACACCACTGACCATTAGTAGTAAAAAGGAATAAACCATTGGTAAGTACTAACTAATGGATAATGTTCTCAAAAACGTAAGAAGCCAGGTAGGAACAAATGTGGTATGGTCCTGTTTATATGAAATATCAAGCATACCAGGTCTACAAAAACTGAAAGTAGACCAGCCATTGAGAGGGTCTGAGCTTGGAGCTGAGGGCTCTTTATGGAGCAGTGAAAATGTTCTAAAACTAGATTGTAGTGATGGTATTCAATTATACACATTCAGTGATAATTGCCAAATTATATAAGATTAGTGATTTCTATGTTATCTAATTATATCTTGCCAGGTACTGGTGACTTATACCTGTAAATCCTAGCTACTCAGGAGGCTAAGATCTGAGCATTGTGGTCCAAAACTAGCCCAGGCAGAAAAGACCATGAGATATTTATCTCTAATTGACTACCAGCATCCAAGCCCTGAGTTTTAAGCCCCACAACTGACAACAACAACAACAAAATCACAACAAAGCCATTAAAGAAAATGTAATACTTAGTGAATACTGAGTTTATAAATATTGACTGTGAGCCAGGTGCTGGTGGCTCACACCTATAATCCTAGCTACTCAGGAGGCTGAGATCTGAAGATTACAGTTCAAAGCCAGCCCGGGCAAGAAAAGTCCCTGAGACTCATCTTCAATTAACCCCCGCAAACTGGAAGTGACATTGTGGCTCAAGCAGTAGAGCACTCACTTTGAGCTGAAGAGCTCAGGGACAGCACCCAGGCTCAGAGTGCAAGCCCCACAACCAATAACAACAACAAAAATAATAATAAATAAATAAATATTGAATGTGCTAGTATGATACCATTTGTGTGAGGATAAAAATACAAACATATGGGCTGGGAAGGTGGCTCAGTGGTAGAGCGCTTGCCTTGCATGCATGAGGCCCTGGGTTCGATTCCTCAGCACCACATAAACAAAAAGAAAAAAGCCGGAAGTGGCACTGTGTCTCAAGTAGTAGAGCGCTAGCTTTGAGCTGAAGAGCTGAGGGACAGCGCCCAGGCCCAGAGTTCAGGCCCCATGACTGGACCCCCCCAAAAAAAACAAAAAAACCCAAACATATCCACATAGATGTAAGAACAGCATGCAGTATGACATAAATATGGGGTCCAGCTTTACACGCAAATAAAACACACTAGTGATGCCTGAGTGGCTGGAGCAAACAGGCGTGAGGAGAACATTCAGAACATTTCAAATGAAGGCAGACATGTGACAAAATATTAACATTCATCCATTTTGGGTGGCAAGCACATGATATTTCCTTTTTCTTTGTACTTTCCCAGATGTATATATATTTTTTTTTCAATAAGATTACAAACCTATATTAAGTCAAAAGCTAAACAGCAATTATAAATGATTACCTAATTCCTCCATTAATTTTAATTCCTTTATGGCTTTAATTCGAATATCAAACACCACCTAAAATAGAGAAATAAAGTAATGATGCAAATGAAGACCGTCAATGTGTGAGCATTTTTCCTAACTGAAAACTTTTCTCTCCTAATTCCTCAAGTTCTTCTATAAGGCCAAAGGCAAAAATTCAACATAAATTGTTGAACTTATACCCAAACTGATGTCAGCTGGGACAGAAAGTCGGAAAAAACAGTTCTGGCTAGAGCACCTAGGCCCACCCCTGATGAGAGCAAGGGAAGCAAGTGCAGGCAATCCCCTGCTGTGTTGGGCCGAGGCATCAGGCCCCAAAGAATACGTGGAATTAAGACCCAAGCTACTACAGTTCCTATCTAAACCATTTTGTTTTAGGTTGCTTCCTTTTTTGGCCTCGTTCAGGCCAGTTTTTCTAGAGTATAAGGTGGAAACTTAGGGGTCGTCTACGGACTCACTTAGCACCTCACCATGACAGGAAGAGGCAGACTCCATCTTTGTTCCCACCCAGGGGGCAGGACTAGCCTCCTGAAACTGATCTCAACTGTGCCTTCCGAGAGTGTCAACAACCATCAATGCATCTTGAGAAATTCGATGTCGATATAAATTAAGCAATATTTTAGTAAGTCTCTTTTCAGTTGTTACAGAAAAAAAAAAATGCACTGGGACTAAATAAGTACATAAAGATAATACCTGAGATAGTATTTAAGGAAACTAGCCAAATGGAATCAAGGAATCTCTTTTAAGATCACGACTTGGGCTGGGAAGGTGGCTCAGTGGTAGAGAGCTTGCCTTGCATGTCTGAGGCCCTGGGTTCAATTCCTCAGCACCACATAAGCAAAAAGAAAAAAGCCGGAAGTGGCGCTGTAGCTCAAGTGGTAGAGTGCTAGCCTTGA